GCAGCAGCAGCAGCAGCAGCAGCAGCAGCAGCAGCAGCAGCAGCAGCGTTTCCATCCAAACAGCCTTCTTTGCCACCTTACTTTCTGATTTTTAGGTTTCCCCTTACCAGAATCCACAATGGCAACTTAATCAAATCCCCCTGGCTGGTGAGGGGTCCCCTGCAATTGGGAATCAAACAACTTCTTTCCTGGGGCTTTTGGGCGGTGTCCAGCTTTCTCAGTCTGGAGGTTCAAAGCTTCCTAACTCCTCCATCACAGCAAGAAGTAGGAGGATCCAACATGAAACTCAGAAATCCAAAGAGATTTGACAAAGAATCTAGGCCTCAGTAGAAGCATGAAAAGACAAGGGATTTTGGAAAAAAGGGACAGAAGATTTCTAAACTCTTTTCCTTAGTTTCTATTATATTGCTATTTTCTAAGTATTTCTGACAACCAGACCCACTCCACTATTTAAGAAAAACTGATTATTTTTTTATAAAGTTGGTTGATTTGTTAATGGCTAACATGGTGGGTGCTTGTCTTATTTGTGTTGCTGACGAAGCCAACAAGGACTGGAGGTTGGTGAGGAATAACATCAAATCAGGCTGCCTATGTCAGTGCTTGTGCTTTTTGCTGAAGGATACTATTATTACTTTGTCCATATGATGCCAAAGAACATTACTGACCCCAGCCATGTGCAAATGGCAGCTCTCCTTAAATTTCATCCAATCATTGGTTGGGATGGCAAGCTCTAGTCAGAACGTCCACTGAATTTCTGAAGGATTATCCTAACCCAGGAGGTGAAAGCCCATACAGGCATAAGGTAAGAAGATTATTCCTCCTTGAGGTTTGGGAAAGGAAACTTATTGCACAAGTGTTCCAAATTAAGTCCTGTGGAAGGACTTGGGTCTTCTGAGGCAATGGAGAAAGCTCAATTTTACTGAAATGTCCTCCCTACCCCACTTCACTCTTCTGAGCTGAGTGACAGTAAGAAGTAGCATTTTGAGGGTGGGGAGAGGGGTAATTAGGACGAGAAGGGAAAGGAGTCAGGAAGTGAGGGTTTGAATGGATAGTGGCGTCAGATCTAAGCATGTCTTAAGTGACCATTCTACTGACCAGAAATGGATATTGGTTCTTCATCCTAAGTATGATTGGTAGTTGTTAATGCTATCCTTTCTTGACTAAAAACTCCTGTATTCCTACTGCCCCTCCTTTTCTCCCAGTATGCAGAGGCAGACCGACAGAACATTGGGACCAAGAACATCGGACATGGCCCAACTGCCTTAGAGAAGGATGTTGCCCATGTGGCTCTAAGTGCAAAAGGCCGTGGAGCCAGCTGTGTTTCAAAAAGTATAAAGTAAGAAACATATATAGGTAGAAAGAGTTTCCTTGTTTCAAAGGGCAGTGTGGGATATTGAATGAGAAACAGTGGTATTCTCTATGTTTTTGGAAATAAGGAACTCAGAGAGAATGGACACCAGTCCCGTGTTCCTGAAATCACCAACATCCTTAAAACTAGGGTGACTAAACAAGATGGATGTATTAGCCACATAGATTGTAAATCTGCCCCTTGGGGGCAATGACGCCTAAAACTGGGAAGTAGAAGTTGGAGGGGTGGTGGGAAGGGTGGGATGGGCAAAGTTTAGGGCCCTCCCAGATGCCCTGCTCAAACCAATTCTATTTTCGATCTATCAGGTCTATCAAACTCAGCCAGCTCCAAATTTCGGCTCTCTTTGTCCACTACACAACAAATACACATTGAGAATAATACAGATCAAAATCTGTAGCTCCTTCAACAGACACTTAATTTTGGAGATCAAATCTGGAGTTGGTTGATGTTGGGTTTTTAAACATTTATTTATGGAAGATTCATTCTATTCACAGTATCAAAGATAAAGCACTAAGAACTATGGGGCTGACAACTCTCAGAAGCTACACTTACCTCTCGGGCAAATATTCTCTCTCGAACCCTTTGATATTCCTCCTCTCTCTCTTCTATTGACTTGCTCCTCCTTCCATCCTGTAATGGAACTCTGATCTAGATCGATGAGCAGAATTAAGCTAGTTAAGTTCTCCTCGTACTGCAAGCTCACTGCACACCAGCAAGGAAGAGAAACCGGGAGAGTTTATAGTTGCCATCAAAAAATTGGGAAAAAAAAAATCTAATCTTTGACAGATTTCACTGGGTACATCTGACCATGCAGTTTGGGAGACAGAGATTTGGGTGGAGGGGAAATGAGGGGAAAGGGACGGTAAGAGGCGCTCTCTTTACCTCCCAAAGAATCAAGAAGAGCAACCATTTATACAGATCAGGCTGCTTCTCTGCAACAATCAGGTACCTCTCCAGCCAGTGAGAGCCTACAATAACCCTGGAAAATAAAATACTGTCTTGGAAGGAGAGCGAGGAGTAGAAAGAAGTCAGATAAGGAAGAGAAACAGTTATATCCTTAGCAGAGTTTAAGGAGAAAATTTTAATAGTGGGCTAGCTTAAATCTCTCCTTTTTAATTCACTATTTTCTCAACCTGAAGGTGTAAACTATACATGGTTTAGGCAACAAGGCATTGAAAATAAATTCTAAAGCACAACTGTCAACTAGGCTCTTTAATCTTATAGTTAGCTATGGCCATTAGAGGGAGGAAGAGAGATAGAAAACTAGTATATGTACTTATATGCATGTGTGTGTAATTAAATAGCGAAATAACGAGGGAAGGACAAAGGAAAACAAGAAAGAATAATGAAAAGGTTCAACAAGAAGGCTGGATAGGCAGAGGGACAGAGAGAAGTAGGGCTAGAAGAGGAGAAAGAAGGATGCACACTGTGTTGCCCAAGGGGCTAAGAATCAAGAAAAGGTTAATTTTACAAATGTAGAAAGAAGCATAATTTTATAGCAAAGGGCAGGCTTGGCAGAAACATCACCTCTCCACCTCAGGTCAGATCTCCCATCCTTTTTTTCCAGCTCCTTGGTGTGTCTAGTGATGAATATGACTACTGAACACATTCTATTCTGGAAACTATAGGTCATACATTCTTAGATTCTCTTAGAAGGTAAGGAACTTGGGTGAGATGAGAGACCACATGAATATCTGAGGGGAACCACTAAGAGAATCTAACTTTTAATTGAGTAGCTTTGAAAGGTATAAATAAAGCACCCTGGAGAAGTGGGCAACTGCAGTGAACTATTCATTCTGACCTACCAATCCCCAGTGAGTAGTTGTAAGCATCAGGAGAGTTACATTTGGGCTAGTTGGGGGTCTCTGTAACCAGGGCTCCTCAAGAACCCGCACTCCACCAGATCTCCTTCTAAAGTCCAATTCCAAATAGACATCAGTCCTCAACTGTATAATCCCTACTCACCAAGTGCAACAGATGAGGAAGGGCCCAGAGCCAGCTCCGTTATGTATTAAGAACAAAGTTGAGAGGTATGTATAAGTTACATAACTCCTCTAACTCAATTTGCCTCTAGATCTGGAAAATTTTAATTCATACAAAATAGACCACTGGAGATATGGAAAGAAGGGTATTGGCATGGAAAGGCTGTTGTGCTTTGTTTTTCCCAACCAGGCCCAGTTCGTCCACGACCATCATGATGCTCTAACCCAGGAATCTCCCTCACATGTGCCCACAGAAAACATTCCTGTTTTCTTCACAGCACCCTACATCCCAGTTAGGAATAAAAACGGGACACTACTTATCACACAGAGACTAGGCAGAATTATATCAACTGTTCTCTAGGTCCTCCAAATTCCATATAGCTTTTCTTCTTTTGCTCTCTTCCTACAACCCTTTGCAGACTACATCAGAAACAGAATCCTCAGTTAGCTAAACTGATCAACTTAGAAAGAAGAGGGAAAACTAACCCAGCATAAGCAATTACTGCCTAAAGGAGACCACAAGGTCAAGGCAGCAGCCAGGCCAGTAAATGAAATCTGGAGCAAATTAACTGGGAACTCAGCACGGAGAGGACAGGCTTCCCCACAGGAGAGTACTGTAAAGGGGCTATTATTTGTGGAACCCAACATCAAAAGTCAATGTAACTAACTCACCTTGAGTGGATGGAGGTAAAAAATGACTAAAAGATTGGGAGAAAAGGGATCAGAATCACTTTTAAACTGGGTAAATTATACCACTCCCTACCTATGTGTTTTTCTAGTGTTCAGGACCATATCTGAATACAGACAAGTGGGAGAGAGGTATAGGGTTGGCTTTTGGGGTGCCCTAAACAATTCCCCACCTACTACAAAAATATCTATTTGTATGGAGGCTGAAGAAGCAGGAAGGGACTCTGCTCTGTCAAATAATACTATAAGGAAGGGTTAGGGAGGCAGAGGGATGATATCCGAGAAGGGTATAGGAGTTCCACATAAAAAAACCGAGAAAATCCAGTAAAACTTAGTATTGTTTCTGTGGGGCTCCAAGGGTAGCTTCCAGATCAACAAATGCAGTCAAACAGCTGAGTAAAGGTACGCTCCATGTGGCTGGACACAAGTTCTAAACCATTTCTCTTTTTCATAAAAATTCCCCTCTCTTCCCAGTTTCTCTCTCACTGAAAACTTTCTCTGTAGAGCTGCCCCTCCCCTCTTGAGTCTTCACCTGGTTATCATCCCGGTCCATGCTGGCGTCATCTCTCTTCAAGATGAACCTCTGTTGAAATTCTACATTCTTCTCATCTTTGATATGTTCTGAGAACCTCTGTTCAGGGCTGGGGGTGTGGGAGAATGTTAGGGAAAGAAAGAGACCCTTCTGTTAGAAAGTAGACTGGATTTATTCTCTCATGGTGTACAACTTTTAATTCAGTTGGAGCTTATTAAAAGTGATCCCAGGGAGGTAACACTTCACTACAAATACAGGGACCTCCTTAAAATGTTTAGATCCCATTCTTTCATCCCTACATGACTTTTCTTGTCCTAGGGTTACACCTATAATATCTCAGGAGAATCTAAGTGGAAAAGCTTGGGTTCATCTTCTAGAGAAAGATGATTTATGCTATTTATTCTGCCTGCTTCTTAAAAGGGTCTGAAGTTGCTGAAAAACTTAAAATGTAACTAAAGCGGGGCAGCTAGGTGGCGGAGTGGATAGAGCTCCGGCCTTGGAGTCAGAAGGACCTGAGTTCAAATCCGGCCTCAGACACTTGATACTTACTAGCTGTGTGACCCTGGGCAAGTCACTTAACCCCAATTGCCTCACCAAAAAAAAAAAAAAAAATGTAACTAATGCAGGACTATTTAAACTAAAACAAAAACACAGGAGCATAGGAACTGATGTGACAGGTCCAAGAATGAGTTGGCAGAGTGCCCTTCCCTTAATGCACAAACACCCTGACCCTACATTTTCCAGGTCAAGGAGAGTTTTTCTAGTTTTTGCCCCCCTGCTTACATCCTTGTGTTACTGGTTTTGTTGATGATGACAGCTTTTCCAGTTTGGTCAACATTGTGGTCCATTCCAAAATAGGCAGCAACCCGGTGTAATAGCATCCGGTGATATGAGGTCATCTGAGGAAATTTCTTGAACTGGTTACTGGGGACAGCCCCAAAGTTGAGAGGAGAAAAAAGAGCACAAAGGAAAAAAAAAATCAATTTAAGAGACATGATTTTTCTTTGTTTGTTTGAAGTATCTGAACCAGATAGTTTTCTAAGAAAAAGAGGAACATTATAAGGGAGATATGTTCAATGTGAACCAATAGGCTTTTCCTACACCTCTGGTATCCAAGGCACTTTACTTTGTGCCAATATATTCAAGATTGGGACTCAGTAGGGCAAAAGCCCAGAGAAAGAATGGATTCAAGAAATGGTGGGAAAAGTCAAGCAATGAAGGAACAGTAGAATTTAGGACAGGGATTGTTGAAAAGAAATAACTGATTTTTGTTTCTGTCCTATGTTGTAGCTGGAAAAAAAGACCAAAGAACTTTTTTTTTGGCTTATACACGCACAACGATTCCTATTTTGGCTGCTTCTCTCTTTTCGGTGCCTAGTGAGTACTTACTTTAAAATTCATATTTTAAGGTAAAAATATACTACCCAAAGACACGGTCTAAGATTTTTTCCTCTAAGGACCTCTTCCCCTCCAAAAATGTGTTTCAGACATATGCTACTTACTTGTTGTCATTAATGAATTCCAGAATCTCTTGTTCTAACTTTAGCAGCATCATTCTGTCCCTGTTTAAAAGATATTAAAAAGAAGTACCCCTAACTGTTTAAAAGAATGAAAACACAACCCTGCAAAATCACAGATGAAGAATATTTTCCAACCCTCCTTAGCAGGTGGTGATACAAAGCTGTCCAGGTTTCACCAGTCTATGTTACTGTGTTGTTAAAAAATAAAAACAAAAACAACAAAGTAAAACCACCCAATTCATTCACTTTTCCTCCCTTTTTCTTATTTTTTCACTTTGTTTTTCATGGGTTTAATGTTCTTCTGGAAGACATTCTGCTAGTGGCCATATTAATATAAACACATTCAATTATTTTATAATCATTGTTCTACATTGCTTTGATAGTTATCTATAGGATTTTTATGCAATTAAGTGTCTAGCTTGTCATATAAAATAATTTTTTAAAAAATCTTCTATGTTCTTTGTAAACATCCTATGCCTTCATTTTTATTCTCCCCTGTACAGCCACAATTTCTCCATAGATTTCCCTTCCCCAACATTCCAAAATCAGAAATCTCAATTGGTAATAGGAATCCTTCACAAAATTAAACTCCACTCTGAAGACTCTGGATTCTAATAATAAGAGATCAGGTGCATGATCTACCTTTCCTCCACTGTGATGGCCTACCCCTTAAGCTAGCTACACCCCATTTTTAAACACTATTGTTACCTTGGGTTTTTTTTCAGTGTATTTACTAGAAATTCATGTAGGTCTATTCCAGTGGAGTCTGTATATTCTTGACTGGAGTCTGGAATCACAATAACAAAAACACACAAAGTAAGTAAAACAGACCAATGACCCCATACAACAGCTTTGATTAAGCAAGGAGAGAAAGATCGACATAATAAGGAATTAAAACAGCAAAACCAAAGGCCAAAACCAAAAGTTGGTATCCCAACAGGCCAACCTTAGATTTCCTATGACACTAACAAAATCAGGAATCTACACCACAATGTTGCATCAGTATCATACAGAAAAACAACTTTTGATTCTTAGGTATTTAACTGAATGTCCTGAATATGAAAGAATGGGTTGTTTCCAGCTCAGGGAGAAAATGGTAGGTGGAGCAGATAGTGCTTCAACATTTAGAGTCTAAGCAAATAAAAAAAATTGAATAACTGTGCATAAATCATTCACAGAGTGGATCTAAAGGCAATTTTTAATCTGGAATGCTTTCCTCTTGTCACTCAGCATGCCTTGAGAATATCTTATCATAAATCAAGAAGTTTAAAAGAAAAAGATAATTAGGAAGGCAACTCTGCATTTAAAGTTTCATATAATTCATTGTGCATTCAAAAGTCAAATATAAGTAATTTCTGGATTACCTGGCATTATTCTTATTACTGCCACCTCTATTAAAACATATACCAGAATTGCCTGAAATGTCCTCCTCTGAGTTGGTAGTAATATAGTTGGAATATCTCTTGGAACTCAAGTGTAGGATAGGGTAAGAAGGAAAAGGAAGTAGCCTATATATCTCCTCCCTCAGGGAACCATGCAGTTAGCAGGATAATTGGACAGGTAAGGCCAGTGGAATCAAGGACTTAGGAAGAGAAGATCCAAGCTGTGAAGGGGAAGATTCTTTCAGGGAGTTTCTAGGGAAGGGGAACACCTTACCTCTAGAAAGCATTTTCTTTGGGATCTTTTCTTTATTTTTGTCTTTGTCTTCCTTTTCAGATCCATCTTTCATGGACTTCTCTTCCTCTTTGTCAGAGGGGCAACTGATATGCAATTGAATTATATCCTGGGGAGAAGGATCAGAATAGTATAGTCAATAAGTGAAAGGATATGCCAGCTAACGCGAATCTCTCTTTTACAGGAGAGAGTATGTTTATCATTTTTTTCTTCATTCTACTGAGAAACAATCCCTCTTAGGCTTACAGTTGAGGCAAAGTTCATTCTATTGGTTATCTATGTCTGCTATGGGAAGAGCTCTGGCTACACACACTGCTCTTAGTAATTGAAACTGGGTTAAAAAGGCCCCAACTGCACAGAGTAGGAGCGAAAGATTACTGGCAAGAAAGCTTATCTCCCAACCCTTAAATTTCCTTGATATGAACATTCTGGGTGGTCCATCTCCTTTGCTTAGTATGGCTATAACAGCTTCAGGACATACCCTCCTTCCTGCGTCCTCCCCTCTGAATTTCAAGTTAGATGTTCACATTACTTGCTGTGCCTAACCAAGAAGCTATTCTTCCTAGAAAGAACCTACCTGGGTTTCCAGCGGCCCATCAACAAAAGGGGCAGAGGACTCCTCACACACTGCCAGGCTCCGGACCAGCTTCAGTTTAGAGTTAGACTAGGAAAAAAAATAAAGACATACGTAAGCTAAGGAATTTAGAGGTATCCTCTCTGGTTTTTGCCAAACACTTACCAGACAAAATAGTTTTACAAACTAACTCCTTTTTGTGCAGGTCTGTGCAAGTTTACTACTTTTAAAGACAACCTGAATACTGGTAGCAATTATTACATCAATGGTTGGGAAATAACCTAATTATCTGTGCCCCAAATCCAGACCCAGAAACATAAGTCCAAAACGGTACACTGTCTGAGAAGTGACCACAGAACAAAGAAAGAACAGCTGAAGGAAGGTATGCAAAACGCTGAATGAATGACCTCCACTCCATTGTCATGCTACAAAAGACTAGGCTGCCTGGGGTAGTTTATAAACTGGATGATCCTCAGAATCAAGCAATTTATTCTAAAAACCACTTCTATAAATCACTGTTCCCCTTTGGATTCCCAGCAAGAAAACTGGAGGATGGCCCATTTGGAGCAAACTGTATTTAAAAAGATACTTCAGACAGCAATCTGTTCATCCTTTTTCAACCCATTTCATCCTGTCATTTGTTCATTTCCTTTTGCAAATCTGAAAAAAAGGGGTTCACCTAATTCAATTCAATTCCACAAGCACTATTAAGTCCCCATTCTATTTGAGACACAGTGCTAAGTCGTAGGGATAGAAAAATAAAAATACAACAATCCCTGCCCTCAAGGAGCTTATCTTGCGGGGGGGAGGCAGGGGGAGGAAACACAACATGTACAGAGAGAAGTAAATATAAGATATACATAAAATAAATATGAAATAATTTGAGAGAGAAGTAAACTAGAGCCACTTATTACAGTGATTACAATGAGGAGACCCTCATTAAAAAAATGAGGACACTTAATCAGTTTTTCCAACTCATTCCAATTCTTTCATTGGGTGGCAAACACTTTTGTTTTTCAGAGTTGAAAGTGTTATTTCATAATAATCTCTCTTAGTATCAGCAGGATGTGTATGAAATGGAAATGAGTTATTATGTGGTAATCCAAGCATGCACACTAGGGACAGGAAATGGAAACCCACACATGTCCAAAAGAAACTAACAGAAGAATATTCTTTATAGCCCAATGGAGATAGGAATGGGATACTTCTGGCCTCTAAATACAGGTTGGTACAATGCTGTGACAGTTCTGTCTAGAGGCAGCTAAGTGACACAATGGACAAAGCACGAGTCAGGAGGATCTGAGTTCAATTCCTGTCTAAGATACTTACTAGCTATGTGACCCTAGGTAAATCATTGCACATCTGCCTCAGTTTCCTCAACTGTAAAATGGGGATTATAACCACACCTTGTTGTGAGGGTAAAATGAGGTATTTGTAAAGCACTTAGTGCAGTTCTAGCAACTTACTTTGTTTCCTTCCTTCCTTGGGCAGCTTCAAAAATGGCTTTCAAAGCCTTCCCTTTTTTGCATAGGAAAAGTCTTATCTTTAATACATATTAGAAATGCTCCTTCCTTTTTAAGAGTTCCAGGATGGTCATTCATGAGGACCAAGGTGTTATCTACTTTCTTGGATTCCAGCTATGATTTGGGGTCTTTGGCCAGCAGTCATTGGTTGAGGGAGATGAGTATGTGGGCCTGGAAGGCTCTTGGGTTTATTCAATAGCTAAAAAAGGGGAGGTGAAGGTCTCCTTAAAATGTATGTCTGGGATCAGATAGTCACTTAATTGTGAAGCTATTGGGAAAAGAGGGAGAGACCTCAGCTGCTTTAAGAGGCAAAAGTAACAAATATTAAAACCCAGATACTAGTTGATCCATACTGTTAGAATTCTTAGGGAGTTCAGGAGGAATGCCAGGACAGTATCCCTGAAGCAAACTCTTAAGTGATGAATCAAGGTCTTTGCAGGGTAGTCCAAAACCTAGTGGAGCTCGTCCTCTGGGCATCACAGAAGTGCTATCAGAGCACACAGGGTGTTCAGCCATCACCTCTTCCATCCTCATGCAGAGAATCACTGTCATATCACCTCCTTTTTCAGTCATACATGTCTTTGGTAACTTTTAAGCCCCTTTTGAACAATTCTTCAATGGTAAGGTTCTGCAGTCTACTCATGATTAGCATGTGTTTCTCCATTCTCCTTTGGGTGACTTAGAATTCATTCTTTATTAACAGTCATTCCATGCTTAATCATATGGTATTACTGGAAAAACACTATTGTTAAAAAAAAAAAAAAAAGAGGCTCTATGTGAAGGAGAAGCTGGGAGTCCCAGCATTATCCTCTCCTATTCAATTCTAGGCCTAATTCAATGTCCATATGTAGTATAACTCATAATACATATTTATGGAACTCTCTCTACCCCATTCAGTACATGGCATTATAAGTCGTCCATCCAATGCAATATCATCATCTGAACAATAGGCATCCATTCTTCATCAATTTTTTTTTTCTGTGTAGACAGTTATATCAAACTCAAGATTGGTTACAAGATAGAGGCTATGATGGCCTGGGGTTTGATATCCACCAACAAGAACATCTGGAAAGTCTTATCATCTATAGGAAATCCTTCATCTATTTGTGCTATTAGATGTCCTTGTAACATGGCAAATGCCTTCAACATGTATATCCCACCTGACACTTATAATCAGAGCTGCTGAACAAAGCTATTTCTGTTTTTAACATAACATAAGATATCCTGTTGGAGTAGAGACTTTACTCATTCATTCGTTTATTTATTGTGAGGCAACTGAGGTTAAGTGACTTGCCCAGAGTCACACAGCTAGTGAGTGTTATGTGTCTGAGGCCAGATTTGAACTCAGACCTTCCTGATTCCAGGGCTGGTACTCTATCCACTGCGCCACCTAGCTGCCCTGGGGTAGAGACTTCAAAGCAATTTTTTGCTCTACTTACTCAAATGATTTTTTTTTATAACTGACAACAAGCAACGTGGAAATTGAACTTTCCAGTCAACTGCATGACCATAAGATGTTATGTTGTGGATGGAGGACCAGCTTTAATTGAAGTCAGGAAGAACCAGGTTCAAATTATGTCTTTTAGCACACAGTGGCTAGAAGATAGTCACATCCAGGGGTATGCTAGTAAAAGTTTCACAACTGTTTCTGTCCCTTCCCCCTAAATGTATATACAATACACTCTTAAGTTTAATTTGCATTATTAACATTTTCTTCCTAAAGAAAGGTTCAACAACATCTTTTCATTTCATACCAATCAATTTCTTATCTAATCCCTCAACCCCCTTACAACAAAGCCAAATGGTTGAACAAAACCAACCAATACATCAAACTAGCTTGACTTCGTATCCAATATTCAGCATTTATTGAGAGGAAGAAGATGGTATTTTGACATCTGTGCCCCTGAAACCAATAATGGCCACTGAACTTGAGTTCAACTGCCTTTTGGTATTTTCGTTTACATTACTTTGTCAACAATATGTATATCGTTCCCTTGGTTAATCTTTCTCTGATCTGAAGCAGTTCACAGAAGTCCTCCTGAGTTTTCTTGAACTATTTATAATTTCTTAAGACATAAAAATGTTTCATTACATTCATATGCTGCAGTTTGTCTAACCATTCCCCCAATCAAAAGGAACCTACTGAGTCTTGTTTGTTTGAGGTTTTGTTTTTGTTTTATTTTGTTTTTTTGCTACTACCAAAATTAGTGTGTCAATTACTTTCACAAAATTGGTAAAAAGAATAAAGCAGACATATAAGTTGAGTTATATTTTCCCAAATGCCTTTTTCAGTGTTAATAATGAATGTGCATGTTTGTATTCTTCCCTCTTTTAGATACCATGTAAATCAATTCCTCAACACTGTCAAAAATGTGTCATTTACACCAAGATTTCCTTTGAGTACAGTAAGCTAATTCTTCCTACTCTGTTTTCTTCAACATCTTTTCTACCTGCTTATGCAACATATTAGGGACCATAAGGTTGGGGTTTGTTTTATTCTGCTTCGTTTTTGGCCAGGACCTGTAATTTCAATAATATGGGGAAATTTGGGTGAGGAAATTATCTCTAACAATGGAAATCAGCAACTATTCTGAAACTTATAGTATTAAAAGATTCAGATTAATACTGATAGTATCAAAGATTAAGTGGCTTGCCCAGGGTCTCTATGTGTCAGAGGTGGGACCTGAACTTGGGTCTTCTATACCCCATATGGGGTCGCGACCCACAGTTTAAGAAGCGCTGAAGGGATTGCAAGTGGAAATTAAGAAGCCCTGTTTACCATGTTGGTTATTATGATGTGAATTATTTAAATCAATCAAAAATAACTACTGAACATACTTTTATCTGCACAATGAGAAAGTTGGGCTAGAAGGCCTCTGGGGTCCCTATGATCTTCTCATCTACTGTGTGCACAAAGCCAGGTGTTGTAGCGCCCAAGACAAGAAGCACAAGATGTGGTCTCTGCTCTTTAGAAGCTTATGACTGATTACGTGGTGAGATAAGGCAAACCTCTAAAAAGCTGTGAGCACGTCCAGATCGTTATTAGCCAAGGAGCGAGTGGAAGGAAAGTCTGTGGGGACCTCTACCATCACAGCTGAGGACAGTGACAGAGATGGCTTATCACACTGTGGCTCATGGCATGTACGCAGGCACATATGCACACACACCATACACACCTCTCCCCACCACTTCAGACCAGGTACACACACCATTACAGCTTTTCTAAACCATGTATTTCTTAAGGCAGACACAAGCAACACAGTGACAACCATTTCTACTGAAGGAGATGGTTTTGTCCCTTACTGCTCCCTCCACTAATTAATAAATTGTTACTTTGCTTGTTAGTTTGCTAACACCTTACATACCCCGTGACACCTTTGCCTAAAATTATCTTTTTAGTATTATTTTTAAAATATCAATTTTAAAAATCCCTTAACCCAAAATGCTAATAATCCTATATAATTAAGCTATTCAAAGTTGTCATCTCTTCTCTTATAAAATGGGAACATTTTATTGGGAACGTGATTTATTACAAGGAAAAATGTACATGGTCATCATGTTCCTGAAGGCCACTGGTGAAATGGACTTCCAAGAGAACTAACACAATTCACTCTGGCTCAAAGGAGGGTAGCTGTTGGCAGGCTGCTCCCTCTCAGCAATGGAACAATAACTATGCCAATGTTAGATAATGGAGAGCGGCAAGAGCCAAAACATCATAATAGGAACTTGAAGAGATGGTTAGAGATAGCTGGAGAGGTTTAGAGAAAAAATCATGAGAAAGCTTTACCCATGTCAACTGAGAAAACTAGAGAGGTGTGATGATTTTATCCTAACAATAGTGATCAATGCCCCTGGACAGAAGGCAGTAATTGTGGCTTTCTCACCTTGGCTCTTTTTCTGGCATGCCCATGGTTGGAAGCCCGTCTCTGCAAAGAAGGGGAAAGAAATAATTAAAGGCAAAATCAACACTTGGGTAATTATCTTCTGGCTCAACCGAGAAAATCTATAGCTGTGGGAACTATTCAAGAAGCACCTAGGCCATCATGAGAGTCAGAGATACTAGAATGGTAACTGTAGCACACTCTCCAAACTTGCAATTTTACTCTTGAAACAATAAAGCATCCAGAATTAAATGGCTACCCCACATGCCAAGAATGACCTGCTATGGCCAAGGCATTTAACCTATCAGAACTCAAAGTTCCATCTATGTACAAGAGGAATAATAATGATGATTACTACAGCAGTGCACAGACTACCTGGGATTAGCACGGCATCGACGGCCAGGAATGTGTGCCTCTACTAACCTGATTCAGAACATCCAACCTTGACCAGATAAAACTAAACTGAGCTGGTTTCCCCAGCTGGCTTTCATGCCATATACATTTCATTGCTTTCTTTTGTAATATTTTTAATTTTATGGTTTTTAAGAATAAATATTAATCCAAGGAAATGTGTAAAAGTTGTTGCTCTAAAATAACAACTTTAATGACGGTTAAGAGATATCGCTGCAGCTGCTGGTGTGGGAAAGTCAAGTTCAAGTATGCCAACAATGAGATAGAATAGCTAGACTGAATCATATTAGAAAGTATGGTCAAAAATAAGGGTTGGGGAGATGGGGAAGGAAGGGAGTAGACACAATGCCAAGGACTAAAAAACTACTGCTATACAACAGCTTAACTAATCCTCAGAAAACAAAGACCTTCTGAGGGTTCTAACAGCTGAAGAGGTTGTTCCTGATTCCTCTACAGTACAATGCAGGGTTCCTGAAAATAAAACACCAAGAAGAACAGTTTAATAAGAAAAAATGCTGTTCGACATTACTATGAAGAAAAGATGCTTGTCACAGATGAGACAATCCAAAGACTGGAGCACTAAAGACAGGAAATGTAATTTTTACCAATAAAACTTATTTTTTTATTCAATCTTATACCAAAATTATCAAAAATAGTTCAGGTAAACCTATAAGATCTGGGTATGATATGAGACTATAAAACATTCACAAATATCCCTAAAATGTTTTGGGAATTTTTTTTATATCTGGTGGCCTTATAAATCTTGTCCCTATTGAGAAAACAAACTATGATAAACATATTGATATACTGAGAAGGTGACTTGTTCCAGAATTATAGAAATTCCCAAATGTAAATGGAGTACATCATGGCAACCTACCAGGCCATACAACATGAAAGATTAAAAAATTTACACAAATGATGAAGAGAAATATGTTTCGATGGCCTAGAAATAGGTCTAATTTAAACCCCATTAAATTTATGAACTATAATAATCAAGGTTAGACCTGGAAAAGTATGTTTAATAACAGATCATATAAAACATATTAAATGGATTCAAATTTGCAAGAATAAAAGCTTTTTCCCAACTGACAAATAAAACATATGAACAGACATTTTTCAAAGGAAGAAATCCCAGATATCAATAGCCATATTTTTCAAAATGCTCCTAATAACTGATAATTAAAGGAATACAAGTTAAAGCAATTCTGAGGTTCCACCTCACATCCATGAGATTGGCAAAGTTGACTAAAAAAAGGGAAAATGACAAATCTTGGAGGGGCTGTGGAAAAAACAGGCATATTAATACATTCATAGTGTAGCTATGAATTAGTTCAGCCATTCAACAAAGCTATTTAGAACTATATCCAAAAGGTTACTATACTTTGCCCTTGAGATACCACTACTAGGCCTATACTTTTTTGATCATAAACCATGCCAATAAACTCTAGACACAAACATTGGAGTCAAGATACAATTTGAGACATATATTTTTTCAGATGTGGCTAATGATGGAATTTGTTTTATTTAAACATATCTGTTATAAGGGCCTTGCTTTTCTTTTTTGTCAACAGGCCAGGGGAAGGGAGGAAGGAGAGCAAATGAATTTTTTTTAATTCATTTATTTTTAATTATCAACAATCACTTCCATAAGCTTTTGAGTTTTAAATTTTTCTCTTCCTCCCTCACCACCTCCCTCCCCAAGATGGCGCACAATTCGATATAGGTCATACATATATAATGAATTTTTATTAAAAAAAATTAAATCAGAAGACTAAAAGAAATACAGCAAAAGGATGTCATATTGCATAATGAAAGCTTTTTTTTTTTAAGGACGTAAAATCACAAAGTTTATAAGGTAATACACTTAATTAACTCTGTTGCAGTCAATTTGCCCACCACTGCACCTTCCTTAGATGGTTATTGTGAGGTTCAAATAAGTATATAAAGTCAAATGGCCATTCCAAGGCTCCAACAATTATCATGAAAAAGTCATTTAACTTCTCTAAAGTCTGAGATTCTATAACTATAAAACAGAAATAATAACACTTATACTACCTACTTCACAGATTTATTTTGGCCAAATATTTTATGAACTTTAAAAAACTATGTAAACGAGATTTTCACGTAATCAGAATTGACCATTTTATCTCCTACATATTCTGTTTTTTTGTTTTGTTTTGTTTTGTTTTTTTGCTTTTTTGGTGAGGCAATCAGGGATTAAGTGACTTACCCAGGGTCACACAGCTAGTAAGTGTCAAGAATCTGAGGCTAGATTTGAATTCAGGTCCTCCTGACTCAAAGGCTGGAGCTCTATTCCCTGCACCACCTAGCTGCCCCCATCTTCTACATTTTCTATTCCTAAATATGAGATTGTATTCGTTTGACTAGGCCATTTAAAACAGGATTCATCAATCAGGAGCTCATAAAAGTATTGGTTTTGTTCTGCAGATCCCGACCTATCAATGACTACAAAACATTTGTTAAAAACTTAAAATTTATTTTTCTATAGGAATAGTGGTATTATGTCAGTCTATAAAAGTCTATTTTTTTTATCCTGTAACATACCTGAAGTGTGGCACAAATATTACTTAATCAACAATTATGGCAACGCTTTTATGGGCAAATTTTTTTGAAGTAAAAAATAAGAGGAAACAAAGTAGGTGTCCAACCATGGTGGAATGGCTAAGAAAACTGGTACACAGAATATTACTTTGCTATTAAAAAAGTGACAAAGATAAAGAATTCAAAGAAACATGGGAAGACTTATATGAATTGATACAAAGTAAAGTAAGCAGAATCAGAAAAATATTATATATAATCACTATAATATAAATTGAAAGAACAAAAAAATAACACTGAATGCTGAGCAACTGAAATGCCCAAGTTTGGCCCTGGGGAAGTTGAGAAGATGTACCTCCCTTTCCTTTAATGGAGAGGATGAGGACCATGGGTGTGGAAATGTTGTATATATAGTCTGATTAAGTTTATATGTTGCCTAATTTTGTGGAATTTTTCCCTCCCTTTTTTCATTATTTATTACAAAGGATGTATTTCTGGGAAAGGGCATACTGAGAAGGGTGCAGATACAGAACCTTACTGGGTCAACAGAACAGAGTTGGTGGCAGGGAAACAATTCTATGAAAGTGCATTTAGTATTCCAAATAGAGATGCCAAAAACATCTCCAATAGTCCAACAACTGAGAGGTGTTACCCCATTCTTCACCCTCTGCAAGATACTGGCTGTCAAGATAGAAGAGACAGGTTCTGTTCCCACAAAGGTTCCAATTTTTGTGGGAAGTCTCCCTAAGTAGTGACTCCGATAGGAATGCAGGCTCCTAAAGGGTGGTGGCCAGACCTTCAAGGGTATTGGTTCCTTCAGGAAGCAATGAAAATAGTATTGATACAAAAGCTTCTGCAGCTTCCACAACAGTACGGAGAGGTGAGGAAGGCTGCAGTATCTGCTTATGTGTATATTATGCATAAGATGGATTTTTGTAAGTAAAAGACTACACAAACTCTACTTGCTTCCTGGCCCACACAATAAAGACATTAGCATTGTTTACAATGACCTCTTGGGAAAAGAATAACTTAGTCATAAGAGCTAATTTAAATATATCTTTCACCATTATATGACAAGACATAATTAAGCATTCACTGCTTATCTATTTTAAGGATTCATTAATGGTATCTGGAGTCAGTGACTAGAGGAGTAGGTAAATATTTGCTGACATGGAATTTGTCTTTATTACCACAGTCAGAGAGGAGAAAAGGAACAGATAACAGGGAGATGGGGAAAGAAAGACAAAGGGAGAACAGAGTGAGGAACCTGTACAGGGACCTGGCCCATACCAGGTAATTTCATAGGGGTAAATGTAAAATCTTCATCAACTTCATAAGATGGGAGAGGTGTAGCTAGAAAAAGATCAGGATTGTCTCAGTGGCCTGTAAACTCAATATGAAGCAACAATGATAAAGCAGACAAGAAAGCTTGTGCAATTTTAGACTGCAATAAGAGTTGTAAAATTTACATGAATAAAGAGGTCAGATCACACTGGGAGTACTCAATTAAGTTCTGGGAAGGAAGGAAACTAGTAACCTTGGAGAGTTTACAGTAGTACAAATAGGATTGTGAAGGGCTTCAAGTTCATGACATATGAGGAGCAGCTGAATTTGGAGTTTTTACCTTGGAGATGAGAAGACAGAGGGGAAACCTAAGAATAGTTCTCTAAGTATCTGAAGTACTGTTATGCAGAAAAAAGTATTTATTAGGGACAGCTAGGTGGCGCAGTGGATAGAGCTCCAGTCTTGGAGTCAGGAGGACCTGAGTTCAAATCTGGCCTCAGACATTTGACACTTACTAGCTGTGTGACCTTAGGTAAGTCATTTAACCCCATTGCCTAGCCACCTCCAAAAAAAAAAAGTATTTATTGTTCTGCTTAACTCAAATAGGCAGAAAAAAAAACAATGGGCAGGAAGCAGTGAGGCGGCAAATTTATGTTTGACGTGAAGATACATAATTAGACCTATTCAACAATAAAATGGGTGCCTAAGAAGACAACAATAATAAAAACTAGCATTTATATGGTGCTTTACAGTTTGCAAAGCACTTTACAAATATTATTGTATTCCCATAATTACCCTGGGAGGTAGATACTACTATTATTCCCATCTTACAGATGAGGAAATTGAGACTTACAGAAGTTGAGTCACTTGCCCAGCACCCCACAGCTAACGTGTCTGAGGCTAGATCTGACCTCAGACACACGACTAGCATTCGAGTCACTGTGTCATCTAGTGGCCTCTAAGGCCACTGGATCCTATCATCTGAGGTCCTCTGGAAAAAACTGGGTGAGCATTTGTGAGACAGAAAGTACTCTTTTTCAAGTATCAGTTGGATCAGATGGCCATTGAGGTCCCTTACAAATCTGAAATTCTTTGATTCTGTAAAGCACAAAAGAAGGAAAACAGCCGGTAAACCAAAATGTTTCAAAGACAAACTTAGTCTTTTATAAATGTCCACAGAAATTATGTTTCTATAGACAATCTTAGTACTTCTAGAAGGCTGACTACATTCCTCCTTTTTCTTAATTTTAAACAGTATCAGCAGTTTGAAAAAAAATGATTTCTCTCCTTATTAGAGAGACTATTATTTCTCCAAAGCAGAAAAGGAAATGGCTGATTTTAATTGGGCTTGGTCAATTAATCAAGAAGCATTTATCACACACTTACATACCAGGCTTGATTTAAGGCACTGAGGCTACAAAAACAAAAAAATTAGGCTGGCTGGAAGCAGGTTGTGAAGGGTTTTAAACAGCATGTGATTCTAGAGAACAGGGAGGTGCTGGACTTAATTAAGCACTCTGGAATATGGACTAGAGAGGGTCAAGACTTAGGGCAGGAAGACGCATTAAAAGACTATTTCAATAGTCCAGAAGAAGAAGAAGGATAAGGACCTGAATAAAGGTTAACAGCCATGTGAGCAGACACAAGAGGACCAATACGAGAGATGCTATCGAGGTAGAAACAACAAGATTTGACAACAATTAGCTATATGGGATGAGGGAGAACAAAGAGTCAAGGATGATTCCAAGGTTGTGAACCTTGGGTATTAAAGAATGATGGTATTATCGACAATAACACAAGAACTAGAAAAAAAGGTAGTATGTGTGGGGGAGGGGGAGAGGTGTCAAAGATAATGAGTTCTGTTTTAGACTTCTTAAGTTAGAGATGCCTATATGACATCTACTTTGAAACACCCAATAGTCAGTGAGTGATTCTATTAATTGAGTTCAAAAAAGAGACCAGGACTGGAACTATTAGATATGGGGTCATCTATGTAGAGATGAACCCACAGAAATTGATAAGGTCACTGAAAGAATATATAGAGAGAAAAGAAGTTCCAGGACAGAGCCTAGGGGCATACTCACAGTTAGAAAGAGGAATATCAACAATGATTCAGAAAGAATTCTGAGAAGGATCAGTCAGACAGGTAGAAGAATAACTAAGAAAAAGTAGTTACAAAAATCCAGAAAAAGCCACAAGATTTTGTAAGTGACCATTGGTAATTTTGGAGCAATTTCAGGTGAATGATAAAGCTGGAAGCCAGGAGTTGCAAGGGGTTGAGAAGTGAGTGAGAAGATGTAGAGAGGAGAATTTTTTCTATAAGGATGACTGTGAAAAGGAATAAAGATATAGGATTACAACTTAACAAGACAATAGGAAATTTTTAGGGCTAGGGAAAATCTTGGTATGTTTGGAGTTATCAGGGGAGGAGCCAAAATAAAGAGAGAGATTCAGTCAGTCAACACACATTTATTAAGCACCTACTATGTGCCAGGTATACAAAAAGAGGCAAAAGGCAGCCTCTGCCCTCAAGGAGCTCACAATCTAATGGAAGAGACAATCAGCAAACAAATATGTACCAACAAGACATATAAACATAATGATGAAATAACGAAATGAGGGAAGGGACTCGTGTTAAGAGGTTGGGATAGACTTCTGGTAGAAAATTTTAGCTAGGACTTAAAGGAAGCCAGAAAAGCCAGCAGGTGGAGAGAGGAGTGACAGAATTTCAAGCATGGGTACAGAGAGAGAAAATGTTTGGAGCTGAGAGATGGAGTGTCTTGTTTAAGGAACAGCAAGGAAGCCAGTGTCACTGTATCAAAGAGTACATTTCAAGGAATAAGGTATAAGACAACAGAAAGGAACGAAGGAAGGAAGGTTGGTTAAAGTTACGAAGGGGCTTTGAATTCCAAAAACTGGATTTTACATTTGATCCTGGAGGCAACATGGGAGCCACTGGAGTTGGTGGGTGGGGAGAGTGGTGTTAACATACTTGTATCTGAGCTTTAGGAAAATCACTTTGGTGGTAGAATAGAGGATGGTTTGGAGTGGGCAGAGACTTGTGGTAGGCAGATCTACCTGCAGGCTATTGCAATAGTCCAAGTATAAGGACCCTGTAACAAAGATGTTGGCAGATCAGAAGAGAAAAGGGGACATATTCAAGAGAGGTTGCAAAGGTGAAATCAACAGGCCTTGGCAACAAAGAGTAAGGAGTGAAGGATGGCATGTAGGCTATGAGTGTGAGGAACTGGGAGAATGGTATTGCCCTCCATCCTAATAGGTAAGTGGTAATGGAAAAAGATTTAAGGGGAAAGAGTTCCATGATGAACATATTGAGTTTAAGATGTCTACTGAACGTCCAGTTAGAGCTATCTGAAAAGGCAGCTGGAGATGTGAGATTGGAAGTCAGCTAAGAAGTTGGAGGAGGATAGGTATATTTGAGAATTATCAGCATAGAAACGGTCATTAAATCCACAGGAACTAACGAGATCATCGAACGAGGTAGCATAGAAGGAGAAGAGAAAAGACCCAAGACAGAACTCTGTAAGACACCTATAGTTAGATGGTAAGACCTGGATGAGGATCAGCAAAGGAGACTGAGGAGTGGTCAGATAGGCAGGAGGAAAACCAGGAGAATGTAGTGGCCTGAAAACCTAGAGAGAAGAAAGCATCAAGGAGAAGAGGGTGATCAAGAGATAAAGAGTGAAGAGTGAAAGAGGAGGGGCCTGAATCAAAGATACAAGCAGACGGATTGGCCTAGTTAAGGAAAAGGGACACTTCATCAAATATTGGAGGAGGAGAAAATGGAAGATGATGGCAAAAGTTCGGGAGATTTAGAGGAGAGGAGAAGGAACTCACTGTGAACAGACTCTATTTTCTCAGTAAATTATAAAGCAAATTCCTGAGAGACTGTGGGAAGGGGCTGGTGTGGGATATTTGGGAAACAAAAGCCTGGAACAGGGCTGCTATAAGGAGTAACAGAGAACCAACTGAGGAGGAGTAAAAGGAATGTCTAGCTGCTGTGATGGCCCAGTAGAGGTTAGATGATATAAATTTGTAACAGACTCAGTCAGCACAATTGTATAACTTTTTTCAGTGCTGTGCAACAGCAAATGATTTGGAATAGATGAGGCAGATAGTGGGAGTTAATACAGGGATGTGATTTGACATGGCCTAAGGAAAACAGGAGAACAGTGTAATGCTGAACTAATTTACTTCTCAAATGGGGAAGAGAGGAAAGGGAAACCAGAAAACATACTGAGAGGCTGAAGAAGTAGAGGTCATGTTGAGGATAAAGAACAGGATTAGGAATAATCAGGCATAGGATGATAGGAACGATAACAGGTTATGGTCTGAGAGTATATTTTCAGAATTCCTGAACATGGAAACAGAAGATTTGTGGTCAATGATGAGATCAAAGTGTGGTGGTCCCTGTGTCCGACTGAAGGGTTCTGACAATGCAGGTCATGGGAGATGAGGAAACTAAAGAATTGGGAGGCCAAGCTGTGTGAAGCAGTACTGTTGCTGAAATTTAGGATTACTCTTTGTAGGAGAACAGAATAGTCAGGTTAGGCTGGAACTGGTTCTGAGAACAGGTAAGTTAGTGGAAGAAAAAACAAATCTTGGAAGGAGAAGTACTATCTGGTGACAGAAATGCCCTCTTCTCTGCTCCGCAGTCAGAATTTGGGCAGAAAACAACATGGCAGCCAAGGTGTGAAACATTGCTCAATCACCTACACCAAGTGGCAATTTCAGAGCCTATTTTTGACCCAGTAAATGCTGATTGCTTTAACACAACCAGGATATGAATTTTAACACTGTGCACTAGGACAGATGCACAGTTTTGGTTGCGAGATTTTAATGACTGCAACGTTTCATGACTTGTCCTATCACAGGCTTGTGATTCTATTTTTCTTTTTCTCTTCTGAAAAATCTTAAGTATATTAGACTACAGTTAGTAACTTGGGCATATGATCAAGATGAGAGTAATTAAGCCATATACATACACAGAGATTCTGAGATCAGGAATTACGTTCTGCTCTCTTTACAAACCTCTGTATGGATCTTATTATTTTAAAAGGAAGAGGCTTTGAAAGCAAGTGAAACTAAAATATAAAAAAAGGGAAATTGGACACCTTTGACCCTACATGTGACCAGACACCTACAGATTCCTCTGGCATAACAGTGACCCTTCCAAGTAAATGCCAAGGTATACTTTCCTGGTCCCTTACCTGTGTCTCCTGCCGAATGCTAGTATCCTCACCCTCCTTCTCAATCTCTTCCTTACTTGGTGACTTGGATACAAACTTATTCTTGCTTACAGACTCTTCCACCAGCTTTTTTTCTGATTCTTTCATTATTTCCAAGGTCTCTTGAGTAGTGTTACTGTTAGACATCTTCAACAGAATATAGCAGCGTCTATAGACACCTATGGGAAGAGCAAGTACAAACGAAGCAAGGCCATGAGATAAATTCTGTATTTAAATTCCCCACGTAGAGATCTGCATTTCATATTTTGGCGTCTCCTTTGTTCTGAACAAATAGCGCTGGCTCTGGCAGCTTCCTGGGTTTACTCTCATGAAGGCCTCCCCAGCCCCCCAGCTCTCCCCAGAAAGCTCTTGCTGCACTGAAGCAACATCTGCAGCTTGAGGACAGGGTTGCCCCACTTGCTCCACTCCCAGGAAAAAGGAGGATCTACTTCGGCGCCCCCCAGTGGCTCACCTCGTGAACCTCACAGGGACCAGTCACTGTCAGGGAAGCCAGCACTGTTGCACATGCACAGGACTACAAGCAGATAATATCACTTCGCATAAAGACTCCAGATTTCTTCTCCTCAAAACAATACTTGAAGTCAAACAGGCTTGGCACCAAAAGGAGACCTTTCCCCTGTCATGGATCACTAACTATACTTCAGACCTAACTACTCTTCTTCTGAAAAGGCAAGTTTGGAAACTCAAATTCCATGTTTTGTCCCCAGTATAGCTCTGGAAACTTAACATACTAATGGGTGACAATGTCTCCTGACAACAGACATCAAAGACACTCCTTTTCCTTCTCAGATCCATCTGAAGATACAGGTAGCCCTTAAGAAATAGGTGAGGCTCAGATTCTTATAATCGAGCCATGAGCTCAGATTCTTAAAATCTAGTCACTGCTCAGATTCTTATAATCTAGCCAATAGCTTACTAATGTTCAGACTCCTTAAGGGTCTACCCAATAAGGCAGATGTTCTAATAAACCTTGTCTTTGGCTGAAGAAAAAAGAAATGGGCAAGAAGATTCAGCGCTGCATGTATTTATCTAAGAATTTATTGCTTTTGTTCACTGTGACCTAGTATGCATCCTCAGTCTGCATGAGATCCTAGCTTCCAGAGACTAGCTGAAGCTACCTGAGCTAGTGATTAGTGTTCAGGATCCCAATCAAAAAATGAAAAACTTAAAAAAAAAATGAATTGAGGAGAAAAAAATGGCCAGTATTTTCATTTGTCTTAAGTGTTCTATAAAATCTTAAACATCACCGAAACTTAGGAGCTATGCACAGGAATTGCTAATATACGATCACAAACTGGTGCTCTAAATTTGAAGAACTAGTAAAACATGAAATTCATTCCATCAATGACAGTTCTTAGCTGGACTACCTTAACAGGAACAAAGACAGCACTTTGAACATAGCACCCAGCTATGTTCATTCAAATTATTTTGTTATACTTGTTAGTATACATATCTTTCCTATTAAATATTGAGCACTTTATGAGTCAGAGACCATTTTTAAACTCATCTTTGTATCCCCTTCAGTACCTAGCAAGGTGCCTTCCATACATACATGAGATGATCAATAAATATATCTTGAATGGATAAAACCTAAGATTTGAAAGAAACTTTAGAGGTCATCTAATTCAACTTCCTTCTCAGTGGAGTAATTCCTTCTAATGGTATTTCTAAAGATGGTCAGTCTGTTCTTGAACAATTCCAAGACACATAGCTCACTACTCTGTGACAGCCCTTTCCATTGATGGATGGCTCAAACTGCTAGAAAATCCTTTTTTATAGAGCCAAAATACAGTTCCCTTTAACTTCTACCCATTAGCCATAGTTCTAACTTTCTAAAGCAACAACGAACAAGTCTAATGCCCTTTTCTACATAGCAGTCAGGTATCTGAAAATAGCAATCACGTCTCCTCATCCCAAAAGTCTGTTTTTCTCATATTGCTGTTTCAAAAAATGAAGGCCGTGAGAAAAAATACAAAGCAGCTATTTTTCTGCAGCTAAACTATCAAATAAGTATGGAATCTACTTTGTAGTTCATAGTCCTCTTCCCCTATGGTTCAGAAGAGGGTCAACAATCCAGATACCTGGTATGATGTTATGGTATTTGATATTGCCAGAATTTCTAGGCCAAAGTGCCAAGAAAAAAATTTAAATCAAGTTGTCTGGGGGACTGATGTCTATGCACTATTCTGTCATGGAGTTTGCTTTTTGTTTAGTCCTCTCTTCTAACTTCATTCCCCACCCCACCCCCCAAAAAAAGAGATACAGCCATCTCAAGCTTCCAAGAGTTCTTACTGCCTTCCTTCTTATGGGCAACAGGAAGACTAAGTAGATCTACCTATTTTTGGAACTACAGATAGTTACTTCCAAAGAACTACTGATTTCCCAAAAATGAGGAATAAGGAAGTAATAGAGAATAATGTAATGTTAAGAAAGTCTGTTTAAGTTAGTCAGCATCCATCTATCAAAGATAACCAAGAATACTGAAGACCTCAAAAACAAATTATGCTTTAAAAAACCCCGCATCCAATTGTCTCCTTAATAGCTATCCTAGTCAGAAGAACTATCCTGTTAAGCATGGTTATGTTATCCTATGCTAATCAATGCACCTTAAAAATAAGACCATTTTTAGCCCAGAACTTCTTTTTCTACAGTTCCCACCACACCCCTGGTACATATAAGAGGTCCTAAAAATACTGGTATATCTCTCAATATTAAAACAAAAACGAAAGTTACACCTTAAAATTGCATCTAAGGAATAAGATAGCTTACTATTGAAAAGATAATTCTTTAGAAGAAGAAAGGAAAACTAATAGAAGGGTAAAGATATAGAGAAATTATTTTCAAGCTTTATGGCCTATTAGGGAAGAAAAGGGGGGAGAGGGGTTTGAGGTGGAGAAGAGTGGTTCTAGGAGAGGAATGAGACTAAATAAAATGCAACCACAACAGGAACAATGCATAGCTATGAAGCCCCCAAGAGGGCCTATATATGTACCTCTTGCATCCTACTTTATGCACATTTAACACTTCAGCCAGGAAAGCAGTACAATTTCTAAAGCAGAATGTCTCCTGAGGACACTCAGCAGCTCAAAGCTGCTCACAAGGGACTGCCAGACTGCTGGGGCCAGAAGATGGGATGATAAGCAGGTAGGTGATCAGGAGCCAAGATATAGCAATCTTTTGTCAGGGAGACTGCTGCATATTCCCTATAAATTTCTGGTCTGCCAAGGTAAATGCATTCCATAGCAGAATGAGATTATGTATCCTTCCATCAACTTTCTAGGCACTGTGCCAAAAGGACATTGCACAGGAGACTCTCAGGGACAACAGGGATGGCCTGGAATTGTTTCCTTAAGAATATAGTATAGATCATATGAAGAGAGTACCAAGAAGAAATTAAGAACAACTGCTTAATGGGAAAAAACAAAAAACAAAGCAACAAAACAAAACAAAACAAAAAAAGCCTCTGTCCTATTCTATTAAATGAGCTATGGCAATATTAAGGCCTTACATCTCACTATAATCTTTTCAGACCAAGTAAAGACTATTTTTCAACTAGCCATCATGTTAAAGAGGGGGAAAAAATATAAAAAAAACAAAGTCACCAAATCTCATTCTAATGTAGCCCTCGATCCTAGACAGCGAATACAGGAAGGAGGCAGCTAGGTGGCACAGTGGATAGAGCACTGGCCCTGGAGTCAGGAGGACCTGAGCTCAAATGTGGGCCTCAGACACATAATACTCACTAGCTGTGTGACACTGGGCAAGTCACTTAATCCCAATTGCCTCACCAAAAAAAAAAAAAAAAAAAAAGAATACAGGAGGACCAAGAAGCATTATGAACACCCTGAACTTAGAGAGGTAGTTTTTGTTTAGTCCATGGGTTATGTGACTACAGGAAATAACTGAAAAAGATAAGTTCCTTTTGGGTCCTCCATTTTAAAGTTCTGAAAGAGAATAAAATATACTAGAGAGCAGTGTGCTGGAATATAAAGTACTAATGGAATGTGGTCAATTGGAACATGTGCCAACCCCTTGGGGTCTACGGGAATCAAACAAAACTAGACTTCATTAGTACTCACTCAACTGATATTAATGATGGTCCCAATATCAAATCACAAAAACAAAAAATATCCTTCTCTGTGGCTGCAAAGGAGTCACTAACTCATGGGAAAAGCCCACAGGTGCTGTTTCTATCCATAGCAATTCTTCAGGAAGGAATGAAGAAGGAGTAACTCCATTAAAATATTCTGGAAATGTACCTACTTTCCTTGCTCAATGTCTGCTATGGCTGTACTTGCCCTGAAATGAGAACTGCAGGTGCCTTGCTTAATGGACTGACACGTACGTTGAGCTTTACTGCAGTTTCTGACAGGCTCTCTGCATTGCTGGCCAAAATTGCATTTTTCAACTTCCATTAGCAAAAGGGATCAAATCTTCACCTCCCTCATAGACAGAGCACCAGGGATGGTTTTCTCCATGCTGCTCCTATTCCTATCGATTCATTCAAAGAATCCCAGAATAAAGAAGAAAACATAGACAGGGATGGAAAGATCTTAAAAGGCCATCTACTTTTCTTGCATCCTTCCCAAAGACTGAACTAAAACAAACTAACTAGAGAAGAATACATCACCACCTTATCTTTCATAGCATGGCCAGGATGTTCTTTGTAGCTAATAAAAATTTCACAGTGTATTTAAGTCCAATCCCTCCTACTCTTTTCTTATTAACCAGTATCATAGGTATATCATAGTATCTAGCATTCAAGGTAACCATGTCTGAAGTAGAGACAGCTCTATTACAATAATCCAGCACAATAAACCCATCAATCAAGAAGCATTTATTAAATACCACTTACATGCCAGTTCTGAAGAAACTGGGGCTTCAAAGATAAAAGTAAAACAGTTCCTGCCCTCAATGAGCTTACTATAAATTGGGGAAAACAACACATACACACTTAAGGACATACAAAGTAAATAAAAGGTAATTCCAGGGGGAAACACTAGCAACCGAGGTAGGGGGCAGCTGCTGAACTAAGCTGTGAA